ATCCAAACAGACAGAGGCAGGGAGTTAAACAAGATGGAAGAAAGCAGGAACAAGGAGAGTTAAAGAGAAGTGAGACAGAGAAACAGTACCTGACAGGAGTTATAGACAGAGAAAAGACTAATTTTAACTGCCATGGACCGAAGTAAGACAAGCTGAGCCAAAAATGTGTTAGAGCTAAAGGGAACCAAAGTGTGTCCAAATGGACAGCCCCAGGGATGGGGAGGATGGAAGGAAAGGAGATAACAGGCGTCAGGCTGTTCTGGAAAGAGCAGGGTCACAGAACCACTTACAAGAAAAGAATCAGCCCTGAGCTCTGCCCTGAGTATCTCTAAGCTCATGTCTCCTGACTTCTGGATGTGCCAGAAACATGTGGACCCTTCCCCAGACGACTCCACACAGGCACAACATTTATCAACTTGAAAGGTCTAGCCAATTCATGGAGACTCGTCCTTGACATGACCTTCCAAGGTTGTCAGCTTGCAGATGAAGAACCATGGAGGTAAAGGAGGAGCCTCTCAGTGTCTCTGCCTTAGTTTTCAGCTTCGATTGTCCAAATTTCTCTCCAAGCTCTTGGTTTATAACCTAATGGGTGAGGTGTGTTACACCTCTGAGAATCTGATGGAAGCCGCAGACCCCCCACTCAAGTGCCTCAGTCTCATTCACAATTTTATGTGCAGTCTGGGGATTTTTCACAACTCTTGAAGTGCATGGCTCTCAGTCTGAGATAAGACATCCCAGAGATAAACACATGCAGTGCCAGAGAGACACCAACACACACTCCTAACCAAACACATCGAGAAACAAACAGAAAGAACTAAGTACATCTATAGGATCCTTAGTAAAGGCCAGAAGAAAATTCTATTCTAAGAATTTTTCAAATATTATTTCTTTAAACTCAAAATAGCCCATGAGATAGGTACCATTATCCTCATATTAGAAATGAAGTGTATTAAAAATGTTATGTCAGAAACATGCACACATCTACATGTGGAGGCAGACACAAACACACACACACACACAGCTGACCAGAAGCGGGTCCTTAGGATCTCTGGGGCCACTGGACCCTTGGAAATGGATCAGAAGCTACAAACTTCTGGAAAAATGTGCAAAGTACATCCACCCAAAGATTTGTACCTGGATTCACAGGGTTTGTGAGCTACCTAAAGGCCCACCCTGAATGGCAGGTTAAAAGCCAACCTCATGCACATCTGTTGGAATGGATGCAGGTGTCTTGGCTTTGGGATATGATGGGGCAAAAAATGTGCATCCGCCCCATGCCCACATTGGTGATCCTCTGTGCCCACAGGGAAGCACATTTGTCCTGGCAAAGGCATCACTCACACCGAATTATTCCTCTTCTTCACCACCTTCCTCCAGAACTTCTCTGTGGCCAGCCCCATGGCCCCTGAGGACATTGACCTCACACCCAGGAGAGTGGTGTGGGCAAATATCCCCTGCATACAAGATCAGCTTCCTGCCCCCCCAAGGAGGCTGAGGGAAGCGGGTTGAAGGATTCCAGGGTCATGAAGTAGCCCCTCCTCTGTAGAGGATGTCTCCGGACTCTCTCTTTGTCTTCCTGCCTCTGAGAGACCTGCTGCAAGCCTGTATACTTCCCCCTCCTTGGTTGCCACCTCAGTGGGAAAGTCCTTCCTGCAGTCTCATCTCCTTCCATCTTGCTGAAGCACTTCAAAGACTCAAGATTGTTTTTCTTTCTGCTATTAATAGAATTCCAGAAGTGGTGTATGTATAGAAATGGGGGGCCAAAGGGCAAAACTTTGCTCACGATCTCTGCAATTCTGCCTCCCAGGTCAAGGCCCACCCTGAGTGACTTCTCTCCTCCTCAGAAGAGCCACAGCCTCCATTTATCAACTCCTTATGCTCCACAGTCTGTGGATACAAGACCATGCTTGAATCCTTCTCCCATTTGCCCCTATGGTGAGTACAACAATCATGCCCATTTTACAGTTGAGTAAACAGAGGCTGGGCAGTGGCATCAGTTGTCCAAGGTCGCATGGTTAGTGAGTGGAGGAACATAATTCACACTGTCTGCCTGGCTCCAAAACTCAAATTCTTCACCATAGCTCCTTCTCCCCACACATATATTTTCAAATTAAGATGAAACCCACATAACACAAAATTAACCATTTTAAAGTGTAATGGCATTTAGTTCATTCACTACCACTATCTAGTTCCAAATATTTCCATCACCCCAGGAGAAAACCCCACACAAATTAGCAGTCACTCCCCATTCCCTCTTCTGCTGAGTCCCCGGCAAGCACCAGTCTGCTTTCTGTCCTGTGGAATGTGCTATAATGCAAACTGAATGTTGCGTTCTTACACCTGATGAATCTTCCAATGTATCATCTCTATTAAAATACATGAAAAAACAGGTGAATCCTCTAAGCAACCGCTCATGAAGTCTCCACTTATTTAGTTCACTCCCTGCAGGTATTGGTTCCCTCCTGCAATTCGGATTACAATTTTTAGTTTTGTTACTTTCGGGAATTCTTGTATTAATCATAATATTCAAGGTAATTAGTTTTTTTACTCAATGTTGAATGACTTATATGCAAGCTAGAGTAACAATCACTTGAAAACTTGAGTTGGTTGATCATTCTTAAAATTGTGAATGAGCCTCTTTCTCTGATAAGGATTACACTTGACTTATTATTTTAATAATAAACTAAACATTTTATTATCATTACTATTATGTCTGCTCCAGAGTTGTTAACTGTTACAAGTGAATGATTACAAAATCTTGTTCAAGTTCATGCACAATGGTTGTGTGACAATCCAAAATTATTGACCTATGGAATGTTTCCCCTGCCAGCATATACCACTCTGTCTGCTCACTAAGCTTAGCTCTTTTCCTTCCAACATGGATAACTGGGTAAAATAAAATGAAAGCCAAGTTCCAAGGGACACGATGGACCCAGGGCAGGCAGCAACCACCCTGGCACCAAGGGACAATAAATTGATCATCAATTCTTTCTATTGAAGGGTTATCGATCACAAGGGGAAAATGATGGAAATAATAAAAATAAAATGAAATTTTCATATACTGGGGTATATGGGGAAGCTATTCTGGTTGAAATTTGATTTGACCTAAAACATGTTTATGTCAGAGCAGTCTGACTTATGGTCCAACAACATGCATCCACTCTACATCTCCTTCAAACATCTCCCAAAGAAAAGACTGAAGTCTTTAAAGATAGGGGTGAGTGTCTCCCTTTCTCTGATGCTGATACCAGTAGTTCTTTGAAGATAAGCCTTCTTCCCAGGGAACCAAGGTAAAGTTGACCTGATAAACTGAGGCAAAATATCTCCTTGTGTCTTTGGGGGAAAAAATGTATATATTTCTCTCATACTTTGTTCCAAAATGGTATATAGCCAGGCTGTAAAACACACTTCCCCAGAGTGCTTTCTTCCCTGGGAAAGACAGTGCTTCCAGACTAGTCCTCACATTAGCTCTTTAAATATCTCTCTTACCTACAGATTGGTTATTGATTATTTATATCAACAGTGCATATCCAGAAGCCTCCAGGTACCAAGGAAAATAGAAATAACATTTGTTTTGCTTAATTTTAGAGCTACAGTCTTCCAATTCTGCTTTAAGAAAAGCTAGTTTGGGGAAATCAAAAGTCCCCATAATGGCCATTGCAATTCTGAACTACTTTTGGTCTGTTGAGCCCACTTAGTTAAAAATGTGCACGTAGGGGAACCAAAGTTCTTAAACATAAATCAGGCCAGGCCCCCTGAAGGAGGGTTTTCTTCAGAATGTTTAGATGACTGGGATCCTATTTCTGAAATTCCTTCTGAAAACCCAAGAAAGTTCTAAAGTCCTAGAGCTAACCCTGAGGAATCTATAAACAAAAGAAAAGTTGCTAGATTCCTAGCCCTGATTCCAAAAGTAATCTGAAAACCAAAGAAAGACTCCTGGATTATCAGAAAACCTGAGCCCAAAAAGGAGCTGTGCTACCTTCAGAAAAAAACTGGGTACTCACCAAAGATGACCCCTTGAACCCAAAGACAGAGAATGGAACCAGGAGGACAAAGACTCTCCCATTTCGAAATAAAATCTACCAGCTCATAACACAAGGAGAGCAGACCTCAGTATCTGAGAAGAGACTCACCGAACCAAAAGTAGGTGGCAGCACTTGTAAGCAATGAGCACAAGTGCTCCGTGTGGGTGCCTCACTCGATTCTGGGGGTCACTGTTTCTAGGAGATTTCCTCCCTTGGATCCACTTTTCTGACACCATATATGTCAACTAAAAAGGCAAATTCACCTGTTATTTTATCTCAAAATGAGTTTATTTGGAAATAGCCAAAAGAATTGCAATTTGGTATGAGCATACTATGGCAAACAAAGGCAAATCCAGAAAACCAAGGAAGGAAGCATGCTTTTTTAGCGAAAAAGGGGGAGTAGGCAGGGGCTGTTCTAAACTAAAAGTCCATTGGAGGAAAGTATCAGTTCAGAAGGGCAACGACTCCTAATTGGCTGAGCTGCAGCATATCTCATTGGCTGATTTGTTGCTGCGTGGGGAGAGAAATCCCCTTTTCATAGTAAAGTAGTCTTACTTCCAGTCAGATGCAAGCATCTATCTGTCTCTTCCTGTTTGGTGTAACTGACAATATGTGATAAGGTGTGAGAGCTCCCCCTACAGATCTTCCTGACTCTAATTTAGTTTAGATATCTTTTATTAATTTTCACTATATGTGTCTATATAGATATATATCTCCTGTCCTATGCATTCCTCTTTCAATGTGACACTGACAAGCTACCACTGAGATGTCCTCTTTTCCCGTCCACTTGAATATGGGTAGATTTGTAACTGCTTTGACTAATAGAATGCAGTAGAAGTGCTGCTGCATGACTTCCATGGCAAGGTCATAAACGGCAGTAGAGTTTCCACCTGGCTGTCTCTTGGGACACTTTGCTCTGCCCTCCAATCGTTGAATCCGCATGAGTCTGGATCGAGCAACACAATCTCACTCCCATTAGAGAATCCCTTGATGTTCCATCACCATCTTCTCAACAATCTGAATTCCATGCAGCACAACCACCAGCAGGAACCCTTGGCAGGAGAATCAGTGCCAAGCTTTCCTGCTGAAGTTATAGTGTAGCTTTCACAACTCAACTCTCTTTCTGGCTGCTTCTTCCAGTTGAGCCTGGAACCTACTGTTTGTGGCCATAACAGGGAAGAGAGGAACATTCTTTAGCTCCATGTGTGACCTCAAGCACTGCCCTTTCCTTCAGCAGTAAAGGTGTAGCTCAGGTTGTCTAAGGATCTGTAATCTGAGATGCAGTAAGCCCCTCACCCCACTGCAGCCCCCAGCCTCCCTTCTCCTGCGCACCAGGCCTTAGCACACACTGCGCCTGCCTGGGGTTGAGGCAGAGAAAGATGGAACAGGGGAGGGGAGGCAGTTACATTGGCTGTTTGTGATCCCCATCCTCACATCCATTCTCCCTGATATAGGAACCAGCTTTCCCTCCCACCCTTCTTCATGAAACAGCCTCACTCCAGAAATGCCTTGACTAGGCTTCTCAGCATGAGACAGGAGGCAAACCTAGGCAGAGAGCTGATGGGAAAGGCCATCCCTCTCCACGGTATCCAAGCTTCCCTCCTGATCTACCAAAGTCATCCACATCTAAGAGCTCAGCCTTGGCAGTCATCAAGTTGGGGTGTGAATCAGGCTATGACCTCAGGCCAGTCACTTCACCTCTCTCAACCTCAACTCAAAGATGAGGATTCGTTTAATTATCAAACACTTAAATAATGCTTACTTGGTGCCAAGCACTGTTCTAGACACTTTATCAGTACTGTCTCATTTAATCTTCAAAACCACCTGTGAACGGCATCTTATAGGGGAGATATGGCCCCATCCTTCCAGAACCTCAGGTCTGAAGGTGGAGACTGAAGATCATCTTCCTTCCATTGGCCCAATGAAGAGTAAAACAAAAGCAAGGCCATCCTGTGCAAATGTTCACGGCAGCTGTATTCACAGTAGACAAAGTTGGAAAGAACCCACATGCCAATTAACTCATGCAGGGATAAACATATGTGGTATTTCCAAACAATGGAATATTATTCCACCCATGAAATGAATGAGGTACTGATACATGCTAGAATGTGGATGAACCTTGAAAACATGCTAAATTAAAGAAGCCAGCCACAGGTCACTTACTGTATGATTCCCTTCATCTGAAACTTCCAGAAAACGTAAGTTCACAGAGACAGAATCATACTAGTTGTTGCCAGGGCCTAGAGGAAGGGACGAATGGGAACTGACTTCTTAATGGGTACAGAGTTTCCTTTTGGGGTGATGACAATGTTTTGTAATAGATAGAGATGATGGTTGCACAAATTTGTGATTGTACTAAATGCCATTGAATTGTACACTTTAAAATGGCTAAAGTTTAATTTTATTTTCTGTGAATTTTCCTTCAAAAATATATGTAATAATAGCAAGGCAGTACAGATAGCCATTTTGCCTAGAAATAGTAGAACTTTGTTTTGATCTCACTAATTTTAGAGGATAAGAACAGAGAGATAAAGGAGATATTTTTGAGTCACTCAGCACAGAAGTTGAGACTGAACTGGCCCTTTCACTCAAGGAGGGAACAGGAGGGTACGGCTGGGGCACATAGATGGGGACAAAGGGTAAAGAAAGGCACCTGTTGCTGCTGTCCTGGGTAACCTAGGATCTAAATCTTTCCCTTGTTTGGGCCTCAGTTTCCCTAACTGTTCTAGGAGTAGTGGTAACACTAAGTTACTGAGTATTTCTTGGGCCTGAAACCCTGAGATTTTACTCTTGGTCAACAGCTCAGGCCACCTGGAACAAATGGTGAATCCAGTCGTCTGGATGAAAGAGAAACAACAGAAAGTACTTACCACAGGGTAGAATGAACAGGGAGGAGTCAGGAGACCTCCACAGATTCATTGTGGGCAGAGACGAGGCTGGATGCAAGGACTCTGAGGGGATCTTCATCCCTTCTCCCCCTCCCCAGTGGGGCAGGAAGCAGAGCTGGAACACAGGGGTCAGTTTCACCAACCTGTTCTTCTTTGATGTTAGGTTGATGTCTTCCGGGGTCTTAGGAGAGACCAAAGGGATGTTCTGCAGCATCAAGGTCAAGAAGAGGAAGAACTCTAAGTGAGCCAACCTCTTCTCCAGACAGATGTTTTCCTGAAGGCACAATAAGTGGATGTGTCTATCCATCTATCCATGCCTTATCTACCTTGGTGTGAGTGCACATAATTAATAAAATTTTTGGAAGGACATCTCCTATGATATTAACAGATATGGTTTCGGTGGTGAAATGAAGGTGATTTTTCACCTTCAACTTATTTATTTCCTTTTTTGTATAAAAATCATAAAAAATAATAAAGTTATTTTTACTTTAAAAGAAAAGCTGAAAATGCTTTCCTAATTCTTGGCACACAGCAGTTGCTCAATAACGGTTCATTTATTTGTCTGTTCTTTGTCGATGTGCATGCATGTGTGTGTCCTTCTCTTTCACGTTGTCTCCATCACTGACTGAGTCTCCATCTTTCTCTCCCATCATATCTCCTTTCTCTCATCCCCCTCAAAATATCTTTGTGTCTGTAGATGTCTTACTTTCTTTTTCTTTCAGCATCCTCATCTTCTTCAAAAAGTTTCACCCAGTGTTTGGGGTTAGACAAAAGGAGAAAGTCACACACAGACAAGGGGTAAGCAGGCACTCTCATAGGATGAGGAGGATGTCACTTACCCATGGAGAATAGGATGAAGGCTTCTTGCTTCCTGAAGTTGCCCTCCAAATCCAGGAAGTGGCCAGGATGGAAAGCATCTGGCTTCTCAAAGTGGTATGGGTTGTGGAGGACAGAGCTCAGGATGGTGTACACAGTAGTGTCCTAAGAGAGCATCAAAGCCAAAGGGACCAAAATTGCCATCAACAAGAGCATCTGGATCAATGATGGGACATCCACAATTGATAACAAGCTTCACTCACTGTATGATCTACAGATGGTGGCGAAAATAATTGCCAAAATAATGCATTTAAATAATTCTTCTCCATTTGGTTAATAGTTGTGTTCTGAGCTCTCCAGGAATCCCCACTGACCACCCTGACCCTTCTTCCCAATGACCCTTTGGACTTTTCCGTGATCCATCAACTAAAAGGCTCCTATCTGGCTCAGCTGAGGCCTCCAAGGACCCGACTCCAGCATGAGGGCCCGAATCTAATCTGATGGATGTGCCCATTGGGGGAATTAGATATTGTATCACCCCTAGGTACACCTATACTCTGGAACTTTCGCAACCATGGGAAAAAATGAATCAGAACCATAGGCATTGACCTGAAAATATATCAACAACATAATTGTATATTATAAAAGGAAAAGCAGACACACAGACACAAAATAAAAAACAAGTTGCAAATTGTATTAGTAGGAACACAAAAACTAGAAGGGAAGGAGACATGCACAGTGTACACACAAGTTCCAAAGTGATAGATACAGTATGAACGGATATTGGTGCATATGTGTATATATGTGGTATATGTCCACATAATTTAAAGAAAGTGTGCAAGGAGAACCATCAAATTTTGAATGCCTTCTCATCAAGGACAATGTAGGGGAGATGATAACATAGTCGTTCTTTTTTTTAAAAGAAAAGCTCTAGATATAACAAGTTTCAATAAGTATATGGTATTTTTTTTTTCAGAAAATCTAACATCTGCCAAAGGTAAAATATAAGACAGAGAGAAGGAACAGGACTTTTCTGTATTTCTAAAATGTCCCTCCCTGCCATAGAAATCTGGAAATATAAATTCTCATTGAAGTCCAACAACCAGAGACGTGAAGCATAAGACTGCAGGCAGACAGCACCTTCCATCCAAGATTCTGTCACCCTGCAGGTCTCATCTTAGGGAGATGATATCCTGGAAGTGAGTGTCCTTGATGATAGAGTGAGGGTCATCAAAGGGGGTAAGGTCACTGAATCTCTGAATTTCGTGTATCACAGCATCTATATAGGGCATTTTTGCCTGACCTTCTAAGGCTGGGATACGGTGTGGGCCAATCACTCTGTCTATCTCGACCTAGACTTTCTCTGAGAATAATGAGGGTGGGAATGGGTCATCAATTATTACCCAAGGCAGTGGGATTAGCCAAGTCACCCCAAAATGACATGTAGACTGGGAGGCGGGTCTTGTGAGCTCTTTACTAAGATATTGGGTTATTTTCCCTGTTCAATGAAACTATTGAGAAAGAAAATCAATGGCTTCTTTGTGGAGAAGTCTTGTCTATTGTTTACAATTTAGTTATGAAAGGGATAATTTAGGTAATACAGGAGGCTGGAAACTCATTCAACATTTAAGGCAACTTTTTAAAAATATATATAAAAATGAGTTGTAGCTGGAACTGGAGACTTGTCCTTCTGTCCCACTGATGTGCTATGTGATTTTGGATTAGTTACTTCCCCTCTATGGGCCTAAATTCATTATCTGTAAAATAAAGGGGTTTGATTAGATGAAAGTTTCTCCAAGTCTGATCTGCAGACGATCCACAGGAGAATTAATAGAGAAGCTTTTTAATTAGTTGTAAATCATCAATATACTCCAAAAAGTCAAATTCTTTGTCAGCCTCAAAGTGCCAACCTCAAAGTGTTCTGTCAAGACCCATGTGCTCTCATAGACTCCAAAATGCCCTGTGAATATTAATGCTTTGTGATTGGAGCATGCTTTGTAAACCACAAAGCACTTTACAATCTCCCACGTGTTTTGCAGATTCCAAAACACTTCATAAGTACAAAAACATCTTCTAAACCATAGAGTGCTTCACTGAATTAAAAATATTTTGTAAACTGTGATTACCTTGTCAATTTCAAAGAGCTCTGTTGGCAGCAAAACTTCATTATAAGTTACAAATCCTTACAGAGGTGGATTTTTTATTTTTCAGACTGATCAGGACAGATGTCTTCGTTCATCACCCAACCACCTTCCAGCATGGCCTCAGAGACCCTTGACTGTCCCCAATCACATTCACCATAAGCCCAGCTCGTCTAAGACGTCCAGGTTCTTAAGCAGGAGAAGAGGCACGTAGTGGAGAGCGGTGCTGGAGGTCTCCATGACAACAGAGAACCGCAAGACCACCTTGTGGACAAGATTCTCATGGTGGAACTCACTCGCGGGATCCGAGAATTCCTGAGGGTAGAAATGGACAATCCTTGACGCCTCACCTTGGGAAGATTCCTAGATGGGTCTTTTCTCCCCACCCACCCACATGTTACTCTGTAATGGTTTTTCTTTCACCCTATTAACTTTTCTCTCAATTCAAGGTCAACAGTGTAGCAAAAGGATTGGCTCTAGAGCCAAACTGACTGGTATTCAGCTCAGGCCCTAGAATTTACTAGCTGTGTGCATTTGGGCAAGGAACTTAACCTCTCTGTGCCTTAGGTCATCAAATGGGGTGGTTTTGATATTATGTATGTAAGCATTCAATAATTATTAGGGATTAATTTTTGTTGTTATTATCTTCTCTGCCCTTTGTTGTCTTTACTCTCCTGATTGGCTCTTACAGCTGTATATCGAGAGGTAATATCAAAGATCTTTAACAACCTGGATGACTCTTGCCAGAGGAATCAGAACAAACATCAACCTCAACCAATCAGAACAGACATAGGCTCTGACCAATCAGAACAGATATGGGCCTCTGAATGCTCAGGATGGGAGGGAGTAGCTCAGGCAAGAGAAACAAAAGAAAAAATAAATAAATGGAACAACAGACTAAAAAACTTCTGCAAGGAAATGGAAACCATGAATAAAATGAAAAGACAAAACACCAACCGGGAGAAAATATTTGCAAACCATATATGTGGCAAGGAGTTAATTTCCAAAATATATAAAGTATTCCTACAACTAAACAGAAAATAAAAACCCAAATAACACATCAAAAAATAGGCAGAGGACATGAACTGACATTTTTCCAAAGAAGATGTACAGACGGCCAACAGGCACAGGAAAAGATGCTTGACCTCATTACTCATTAGGAAAATGCAAACCAAAACTATGATGACATATCACCTCATACCCATCAGAATGGCTAATATTAACAAGACAAGAAATAACAAATGTTGGAGAGGATGTGGAAAAAGAGAACCCTCATACTATGCTGATGGGAATGCAAACCAATGCAGCCACTGTGGAAAACAGTACAGAGATTTATCAAAAATTAGAAATAGAAATACCATATGATGCAGCTATTTGACTTTTCTGTATTTACCCACAGCACATTAAAACACTTATTTGAACATATATATTCACCCTTATGTTCATTGCAGCATTATTAAGACAAGCCAAGACATGCAAACAACCTAAGTGTCCATCAAGGGATGAATGGATAACGAAGATATGGTATATGTGGACAATGGAATACTACTCAGTCATTAAAAAAGACAAAATTGTGCCATTTGTGACAACATGTCTGGACCTTGAAAATATTATGCTAAGCAAAATAACACAGACAAAGACAAATGCCATATGATTTAACTCATATGTGGGAGACAGACAAACAAAAACATCAATAAGGAGAACAGATTGATGGTTACCAGAGGAGAAGTGGGTGGAGGGAGGGTGAAAGGGGTACAGAGGCACATATTTATAGGGCACAATGGAAACTGGACAAAGTTTGGTCCATTTCATCTACTGCCCACCCAACCTCTAGATAAGTGCCTTCAGATTTCCTGCCCATCTGGAAGCTATGGACAAAGGAACAGGGTCACATGATACAAATCATGGAAACTTATGCAGAAGGAGCCAACAAGCCCTTTTGTCAAAGGTACATACAGAGACTTATGGCTTCCTTTCTATTAGACTTGTAGAGCTGGAACAGGAGAGCCCCAGAGTGCAGGGGGCTTGCCCAAGGTCCCCTAGAAAGTCATGGCCTATGTTAGTCTGGGCAGGCTGGGCTGTGACAAACAACCTGAACCTATCAGCAGCTTGAGGCCTAAAAATTAATTTCATGCTCATGCAACATACCCATCCCAGGTCATCACAGTTCCATAGAGATGGGGGCTATTTCAGGCTCTATCCTGACATAGCCAGAAACAGGATAAATGGCATGGCAGACATCTACTTAGCCCTCACTTCATCGGCCAAAGCAAGTGCCATCCAAGTTCAAGATGGCAGA